CATGTTAAAAATGGAAAAAAGTTTATACATCTGGCCACCACAATAAGAATAATAAAAAAAGGAGGCAGGCTGGTGAAACTCTGAAAAAAGTTATTCCTGGATGCATTTTGGAAGAAGCCTTCAAGTGATGGTTGTTATTGTTGCTGTTAACTGCCATCAAATTCACTTTGACTTATGGCAACCTTAGGAATGAGAGACCTGCAGGTCACCCAGTTATCAAGAGCCCTGCTCAGCTTTTGCAAATTCAGGGTCCTGGCTTCCTTGATTGAATGTGATCCTCCCCTTTTCTAGAAGTTTCAAAACATTTACCACTTATACAAGGCTTACCTGACCTGGTTATTTCATTTCACATTACCATATTGTTAGTGGGTTTTTTTGTGGGGGGAATTGCTAAAACATATTGATTTGCTCTTTATGTTTTGAGATGCAAAAACCTATTTTTGTTCTTTCCTTGTTACAGTGGACCATTGGGGTCTGCTGGGGTTTGGTTACAGGAACCCCCATGGATACCAAAATCTGTGGATGTTCAAATCCTATTATATACAATGAGGTAGAAAAATATAAAATGGCAAAATCAAAGTCTTTTTAAAAAATATTTGTAAGCTATGGATGGTTGAAAATCTTGAAGCAGAATCCATGGATACAGAGGCCAACTGTATTTCCACCTTTGAACCACATTTTATGTTAAAGCCATCATACACAAAAACATACCTACTGTATATTGCCAATATTGCTGTTGATTGCTCTGAGGATACTCCCATTTAATTATAGTTTAATTGTCTATATTGTAACCAAATTGAATTTTAAATCCTCTACATGCAAGATCATTATGTAATTTATTTTATGTTGTACTTTTATTATGCTGTCTTTATATTTTGTATTGTATTTTAACACTTGGTATGCAAATGGGCTTTGGTCTAAGCATTAAAAAATTAAAACATATCTACTGTACTTTGTTAACTAAGGTACACCTGTAACAGTACGTAAAGCCTTCACTCCAATAAGAGCTATATTCCTAGGGATGAAGCCTCCAATATTGATATGATGGATTAAATTACATATTAAAACCAGAAGAGCGAGAACTTGTAGCTCTTCAGAAGTCATACTAAATAGGTCTACTAAAGGATGATGGGAGCTTCAGTTCAAGAATTCTGGAAGGCTACATGTTCCGCATCCTTGGTTTAAACTTAAAATTTCAACTGCTTGGGGGAAACAAAATACTAGAATGCTTGCAGCCCAACATTTATATACAAAAGGTACATTGTCACTTTGGTTGTATTGGCAGTCTCATGCAGAGGCCCTAGGGACAGGAGCAGTGCTTTTTGATAGACTAAGGACTAAGATACTTGAGCCAGAGGTTTCTGGAAGCAAAGCATATTCAGTTAACTGCTCAGACACTGGAAGCAAGGTTAGGTGCTGAAGGTGTTTTTGAAATGATGTTTATGATAGAGACCGGGACTGAGGAATTCAGAAGTCCATGCGACAGAACTAAAACAGGTGGTACACCAACAGTAGGGAACCTTTCGCCTCCAGATGTTTGGCCAACAAATCCCATCAGCTCCACCCAGCATGACCCCTACTTAATAGGCTGTCAAAGTTGTCCAGGATGTGAGCCATACATTCCCTTTCTCTGTGCTAGTCTAGTGGGTCTGTCATACGTCTTGTGATATTCAGTCACCATGCTCCATTTACATTTTTTGGTGGTAAGTCTTCCATTTATAACTCTGTCATGTTTCTAACCACTTCTGTCTATTTCTCCCCCCCCCCCAAAAAAAAAAGTAGAAGAGAAATGTTAAAAATGGAATGGCCACACAGTATTTTGAGAGGTTAGTACTAGGAGCTCTCCATCTCTCTGGAAGCACTACAGGTTAGCAATGTATGGTCCTTGCCCAAGATCCAAATTAATCCCTTGTGGACCAGCTTTTGGAACTAAGCCAACTCCTTTTCTTTCCCAGAGCTATGCCACAGAATCTTTAGGACAGGGATGGGAATCATGTGGCTCTCCAGATGCTGAACTGAAGGTCCCATCAGCTATTGCTATAGAGCCAACGGTGATGGATTCTGAGAGCTGCAGTCCAACAACATCTGGAGGGTAGCATGGTTCCCAGTCTTGCTTTAGAACTTCAACCCAGAACCTGTTGATTAAATAGGAGTACTCTGTTGCTATTCAACAGGTCTCAAGGCTGAAGAGCACAATCCTGAACATGTGCAAAGCATCTTTCCCTTACCGATAGAGGACACAAACTTGGTGCAGCCTTCCCCAAACCTAATGCCTGACAAATGTTTTGAATTACAACTCCAGGTATTCCTGACCTTGGACCATGCTCTCTGGGACTGATGGGACTTTGAATCTAAAACATTTGGAGGACACCAGGTTGATGGAAGCCTGCTCTGGAACATGGACTTCAATTTCAGTGGTGGGGTTTGCTGGTTACAGTTGAACTACAGTACCACAACTCATTTTTAAGATACTAAACATGATGGGTAAAGCATGGCTTAGACCCATGGCTTTAATCAAAACCAGATCCAGGAACAGGATGAAATTAGGAGCTCTTAAAGTTTAGCACTGCAACAGATTACAAGATTTACAAAAGATAAAGGAAGAAATACTACAGTCAGTTCCTTCCAAGGGTTCTCTTAAGAGTTGGGTGAGCATTTTTGCCAAATTTTGCCCCAAAACCATTTTAAGGCCAGGAGAGGACTTTTTTGTTTGTTTGTTTTTTGACAAGGTCAACCCAGGTCATTTCCTATTCATTTCTATTTTTAAGGCTTCCTCTGGGCCTAAAATGACCTAGGGCCCACCAGAATGTGTCTAAAATGCTCCCACACCTCTAGAGGCCATTGGAGACACAAAATCTTGACTCGGGGGGGGGGGGGTTCAGGGCCACATTCTGGCCACCACTGCTTTACAGCAAAGGGCCTAACTGAATAGTTTGCCTTAATTCAGCATAACTGTGGTTTCACAAGCTTTCCAGAGGTCTGGCTCATGTCCTGATGACATTGACATACCCATCCTACGTACCACTATCTGAGCATAACAACCCAGCAGGGAGGCGCGGAGTTCGACGTTTCCCCAGACATCCTGGAAGATGGTGTATCCGCATCTTGTAGCCTGGACTCCATCTATCAGCCAAGACCTGCCAAACTTGTCTGGAAGAACAAAACATATGGACCACTGAAGAAAGAGGCAACAATTTCAGAGTACTCATCCAGACTAAGGAGTTTATCACACGGGGGAAATCCCGTGAGGAAATGGGGGTTTAAAGTAGGAAAAAACCGCAAAAGCAGATGTTTTTTCAGACGACGTCGCTGTTAAAAGGAGGTTAAACTGGGGTTAATCCGAACGGAACCCCCTCATTGACTGCTTCTTTTTACTTTCGGGTTTTTTCAAAAGTAAAAAGAAGCAGTTTCCGTTTGGATTAACCCCATTTTAACATCTCTTTCACTTTTCACACTGGGGAATCCCATTAATAAATTGCTTCCACTTTTGCGTTTTTTTTCTACTTAAAGCAGGGTTTCTGCACTGGACTCCCCGTGTGATAAACTCCTAAGAGATGTCAACATTCTGGGTGCTGGGAAATAACTGAACATACTTAAGTAGACAGATACATGCCAGTGCCCCCACCATTTATTTATCACGCTTCAAGGTTCATACCCACCAACATGTCACAAAATGAAAACAGGACACCAATTTTAGTGTGGTCGAGATAGCAAATGTTATTTATGAGGAAGTACACACAGAAAAACTGCAGCAGTTTGCTTTTGCCTCGGTTTATTGGGAAGGGTAAGATTCCATCCCTTCTTCCTCCTTTAGCCCTCATGGGTTCATTGAGTATAAAACTAGTTTGCACTCAGTTTGCAGCCGCTGAAGTAGTCAGAGGATAAAGGGGGAAAGTGGGAGGAGAGAGAGACATTGGGACATTTTAAAAGCAGCTGAAAAAGTGGAGCGACAAAGGATTATTTGGGACTTTCCCTGCTAAATCAGGACAGTTGGAGGATATGAAGATTGGAGCACTTTTTAGGGGGAATGGTCATGTGGGTTCATGGTGGCAAGAAGATACACCAGTGGGAAACATAATGCAGCTACTGATGAGGACATCATCTAATGCTTCCTTAAGATAGCTAAAGCGTCAAGGTGATGCCAACTTCTGACCATTGTCCAAAACCAGTCTGGGAGAACCATACTTCTCATGGGTAGCAAGCATGCACCCACCTCTCCACTGCAGGATGGGGGGAAAGTATATTAGATAAAAGCACAGTTTTATCCTGGGTATTCACCCATCACAGCAGGAAAAAGGTAAGAGACTCACCAATTGCAGAAAAGCTGATGTACTTGTTGTGGAAATACTCCGAATTCAGTTTGAGTCTGGCAAGGCTACCCAGACATTCAACATCAACCTGACCTGGAAGAGGACAAAAAACAGGGATGGGATCGTACGATAAAGATGGGTCTTTGCTGTCCTCGAGACTCAGGTCTACATGGGAGTAAGAGCTGGTAAAGATTTGGTGAAGGCCATGATTTCCAACAACCGCTGGGGCAACTCCTGAGGGCATTTGATAAGCTTACTTTATCACCCATTTTCTTCCTTGCTGTGAATCTGAAGTGGATGCAGAAAAGCCTTGAAGGGTTACTTTTGGCAATTTCAGCTCCTAGAATATTTCAGTCAGTGCCTCCACCAGTTTGGGATTTTTGTAGGTTCTGTCCAAAGGTAGAAACCTGCTCTGGAACATGGATTTCAATTTCAGTGGGGGGGGGGGGTTCTAGTTACAGTTGAATTACAATACCACACTCATTTTTAAGATACTAAACATGATGGGTAATTTTTCCAAGTTCTGGAAAACAAGTCCCTTGATTGAGCAGCTCATGATTGAGAAGCAAGTGTATTTCCATACCAAACCGCTCACACTAAGACGACAGTTTAAGATATGCAAGGATTTTTAGAAGCACATTTGTTAAAATATAATTATTTTTTATTTGTTTGTCCGGACTTGTTGCGAGAGCCAGTGTGGTGTAGTGGTTTGAGTGTTGGACTCGGACACTGGGAGAGCAGGGTTCGAATCCCTGCTCAGCCACGGAAACCCACTAGGTGACCTTGGGCAGGTTATACTCTCTCAGACTCAGAGGATTAAATCTTACCAAGAAAACCCTGTGACAGGTTCACCTTAGGATCACAGTAAGTCAGAAACTACTTGTAGGCACACAACAACATACCTGTTGCAGGAATGAATTGAAGCCATACTTGAGGAAGCAGAAGGGCAACAAGGAACAGCCTGAAAAGCAATCATAAAGGACTTGTGAGACTTTATATACAATCACCTCAGCCAGTTAACATAAGGAAAGATATGTAGATCAATGGGGCCAGCATGGTGTAGTGGTCTGAAAGATGGACTATGACTCTGGAGATCAGGGTTTGATTCCTTCCTTGGCCATGGAAACCCACTGGGTGAACTTGAGTGAGTCACACACTCTCAGCCCCAGAAAAAACTGTAATGGGTTCTCCTTAGGGTTGTTATTAGTCAGTAATGAGATGAAGGCACACAACACAAATGTAGATCAATGGTCTGTGCCCACGGTTTGGCAACCCATTGGGCAATTACAATACATAATATGCAAAGGCAAGGTATAGCAACAGTGTGCACTTACATACCATTTTTTAAAATAAAACTTTACTGCACTAAAAAAAAAAGACCATTGTTACATTGTTTCCTCACATTCCACTTTGTTAACTTAAAACACTCAACACTAACTAAATAATTAACATTGATCGTTTAACATGTTTAACAAATAACATTTAACAAATGACAAATCATTCATAACTCATTCCTTACTTCCTATCTAGAACTTTTTTGGTTCCCCCCGCCCCCATGAAAACTATACTATACATTACTTATTTTGCAATGAAAAATAAACAGATTTTCCTTACATTTTTCTGTTGACCTAAATTTCAAAATCTTAATATTTCCATATAATTGTTTTTATCATATTCAATTTCTTTTCACGTATTCTGCATGTGTGTATCTCAAATATACCTCATTTAATTCTCCCCATTCCTGGATCAGATAAACAATCACTTTTTTCCAGTCTTTTTTATATTTTTCGGATTATGCATCTTGTATTTTTCTTGTCAATTTGACCATTTCTATTACCCCAAACAATTTCTCCAACCAACTGAAGGGGTAGTCTCGTTTCCATTTACATATTACTCTATGTACTTTATGCACTACCACCAACATACGCAACTCCCCTTATACTGCTGTCAGCTGAACATAACTATTGGAAAAACAACCCTCTACTCTTTAGTAACACAACTTACACAACTTACTAAGCACACCTTACACCTGCGCCTGTCACCAATAGGATGCTAGCCTTAGAACCCATAGGGTTTAGCTCTGCATTAAAATATGTTCAGCTGATTTACTCTAGACTTGGGACTAACAACAGATTCAGGCTCAGAGAAGCAGACATTAGAATAAACTTGTCAGTCTCAAAACACGCTATGCTACACACTTCTCTTCTTGTGATGCTAAAGACATTCACATGGCTAAGCCTTGGGAAATTGCATCCATGCATCCAAGGAAGTAGTGTCTATGAAAGCTTATGCTACAACATCTTTTGCTCATTTAGTCTCAAAGGTGCTCCAAGTTGAGTCTCCCTGATCCAGGATTCAAAAAAAAAAAAAAAAACCCACAAAATATTCCAAAATTTAAAATTGTTTACACGGGGGGCTGAGGCAGTGACCCCTTTGCTTTCTGATGTTTCAGTATATGCAAACTTTGTTTCATGCACAAAATTATTAAAAATATTATGTATAAGCAACGTAGTGATCTGAGTGCTGAACTACAACTCTGGAGACCAGGGTTTGATTCCTGGCTCAGCCATCAAACCCTATGGGTGACCTTGGGCAAGTCACACTTTCTAAGCCTCAGGGAAAGGCAATGGCAAACCTCCTCTGAACAAATCTTGCCAAGAAAAGCTCATGCTAGGTTTGTCTTAGGGTTGCCATAAAATGGAAACAAAGGCCCACGACAACACCACCTATAAAATTACCTTAATGGTATATTTTATAAGGTGTATATGAAGCCTCTAAATGAATTTAGTGTTTAGATTTGGGTCTCATCTCCAAGATAAAGCATTATGTGTATGCAAATATTCCAAAATCCAAAACACTTCTGGTCCCAAGCATTTCAGATAAGGGAGATTAAGGGGGGTTGCAGACTGCCAGAAATAGTGCAAATTGAGTCCACTTTTAGGGTTAGGGTTAGTGCTAGGGAATCATGGGAACTGTATTTTATTGTGGCACTAGAGCTCTCTGACAGAGAAGGCTCAATGTCTCAGAAAAAAAAAAAACAATTCCCATGATTCCCTAGCACCAACCCTAACCCTAAAAGTGGACTCAATTTGCACTATTTCTGGCAGTCTGCAACCCCCCTAAACCTGTACAAGATCCCTTTGCATACTTTGGGAAATTGGCATGACAAAGTCAGTTGTGTGACTTTCGCAGCCCCAGCTCTTGTATGCCAGAGAGGCCATCTCTAACTGCTCCAGCTCCCCCAAACTCACCTTATTGCAAGATACCACCCCATTTTGCCAGAATATTGCCAAGACAAGGGCTCCTAAATCATAAAATCTCTCTCTCTCAAAAAAAAAGACCACTCACAGACCTCCCCTTGAACAAATCAACTCCAGAGGAGAGATTAACCTGCCTTTTAAAGGATCTCAGCCTTCTACTCCTCCAGGTGTGTGCAATTTAATATTGCTTCCCTTGGATTATCTCCCTGCTTGGCCCTTAATGACAGATTGGAGAAAAGAGGAAATATAACCGCCTGGGAGTTAATCCCATGAGAGAGAGAGAAGAGATCTGTGTAGCTTCATAGGATGTTATCACACGGGGCAAATCTGCTGGTTAATCCACACA